CTAATTTGTCCCCCCTGAAGTTCCATTATCTCCAATACGGTAGCTAGACTCAGATGAACGTCTACCATCAGCGGGTGATTCCAATCCCTAAAAAAAGGTATTAAAATAATAATCTTTAAAATAATACTCATAAAATTTAACTTTAAATGCGTCAAAATAATATACCTGTCTTCCACTAAAATTATGCATTTGCATTAAGAGTTCAATTTCCTTTGTCCTCGCCTTGTCCCTTTGCGTTAAGAATATGATTGCCTGTGTTAATTCATCAATTTTTGAATTCTTTTCTTTAAGTGCATTAATTTCTTCTTGCATTTCCTTTATTTGTTCACTTTCTGCAGAAGAAGATTTCGATCTCGTAGATCTATTAATTTGAGATGGTGTAACTCCAAGTCCCATACTACGAACATATCCATGCTTTTCTTTTCCAAATACTTTCTGAAATGCCTCATTTTCAGACACAGAATCCTTAATTGCAGCTTGTAATTTTTTCTGCACATGAAAAAGAAAAAATTGAGCTATTGTTTATATAACAAGAATAATATATTGGGGGAGAACCTCTTGATCAAATCATGGACTTCCATATATACGTAAAAAGAAGTTGGCACAAACTAGGAGGTGGCACAAACTATTGCAATTGGACTTGAATAATACTGTTGGTATATAATTTTGACATTTTTGCCATGAATAATAAGAAAGCAGTACATTGAGCAATGGTAAGGATTGTTATTCATTATTATTTGAGTCTCGATCCCCTGCCCCTCCTCAAAAAAATCCCTTTATAATATGTATTAAGTGTAGTAGTACTGATGCTTTCAACTTGTGCAGGAGGGATTGTTGCTTTGTATTCTCACCTTTGCAAAAATGCAAAATTTTGTTTGCTTCCTAATCATCAAACATCTGACGAGGAGCTATCTACATATCGCAAGCCTGGTTACTCAAATAGAAATATACCACCCTCATATTTGAAAAAATTCATTGAAAAACATAAGAGCACAAATGAATGAGTTAATATATCAACTAAGACAACTGAGATTCTTTTAATCCCTACCCCGACCATAAAATAAAGGCAAACTGATTGTTACAACATCTGCATAATCAAAAGGAGAAGGAATAACACCTGCAGCAACTAATCCATTGATGTGGGCCATATCAGCTAACATAACTGCCTTCTGTTTATCACAGACCTAAAACAATTCAAATGTGAAAGACACAATATCATCACTACAATGTTAAGAACATAAAATATCTAAGTTTCTATAATCAGATATAGCTTACCTTGCAAATACGTGCATAATCATAAAGGCGGGCATAAGCACTAGCACCGACAACTATTAATTTTGGCCTAAAAAGTGCAGCACTTTTCTCCATCTGCAGGTATATTAGATAAGTCAAGCCATAAAGTACATGTTTAAATCTAGGACATGCAATAAAGATAAAAAGCACTGTCAATAAGCACAAAACCTAACGCTATAACCAAACATTGAATGAGAAAACACTTGCATATTGACAAAGGTAAAGGTGACAACAATTGAAACAAAAACAATACTGGCTACTTAGAACTAGAAAAATTGTCTTTGATTGAAACAGACATGTCCATAATACAGAAATACAATGCTACCTGCCTACCTGGTCATAATCAATATAACCAGTGCTCTCGTCCAATCTGTACGACATTGTTTCAAAGAATATAGATACGGCTGATATATTCTTGGTGTCAGTCTGCATGACACAAAGATATAAATGAAAGTTTGTATAGAGAAATAGGATATACATTATTCTAAATTTTTTAACAAAACAACAATTTAACAGCAAAATGGAAAGTAAATGTCAAGCAACAAATGTGAATCTAGAGCCATTTTGAAAGAGCATTGGGAAAATTCTGCATTGGCTTAGCCTACTAATCCCACAACTAACACAAGTGTAAAATAATTAAAAGAAACTAGTAGATGGCATTGTAAAAGAAAGATTGAGAGTGAGGTAAAATTAGGGGTCTTTCAGTAAGACTGAAAAGTTAAGAGGCTTCTAATTTGTAATTTGCATACAGTACACTGTTTTTCAATTTTATGAGATGCAAATATTTTATAAATGGTTTGGCTCTATTGAAATGCTTATAGACGGTGTCTGGTCCATTTATAATCTAAGAAAGAAGTTTAGAGAGAATTAATTTAATCACAAGTTTATTTGGCTAGAATATGATTTGAAATATTTGAATTTCTTTCTCACGCATAATTTAAGGAAAGGATTTTTTTTCTTAGCTTCCTTGTATGATTTTGACCACAACTGCTCATACTTCCTATATAATACATTTTTTAACCGACTTCTTTTCCCTTTTGTTTATTTACTAAATTTTTTTTGTTGTCTTAAGAGAAGTCCTGTTTTAATTTCTTTCCTTGATAAATTGTTTTCTTACCTAAATAAGCAAAAACAAAAAAAATGACAATATACCAGTCACTTAAGTGCCATTTTTGCAGCAACATTTATTTGTCATATCCTAGTGGCTAGTGCATACTTGCTATGGTTGTCAACTCATGGCAGCAGGTGCAATGAACACAAATGGTAATTAAAAGAAGAACTTACCTGATATCCATGTGAAAGATGCCCACCATGGGGAAGATCGAGTGCCATAATTCTCTCATGAGGTTTCAATAAAGCAGTGTAAACTTGGAAATTGGAAGGAGATCCAGATAGCGACTGTACATTGACTGTCAAAAGCAGATTATGTAATAATGTAAATAAGATTCTCTAAAAAAAACATATGATCAAAATTTGTTCACCTAAATTGCAGAGCTTAATATTCCTTCTACTCTTATCAGCAAATCCTTGGGGGACAGAATCAAGAAAGCTCTCTTGAATGGTGAGGTTGTTCACATAAATCTTGATTGGAGAGAGGCTCTTCTGCATCCGGACGACAGAGTTGAGTATGAGTTATGGACGAATAGCAATGACGAATGTGGTCCAAAGTGTGACAATCAAATTGATTTTGTGAAGAGCTTTAAAGGTGCAGCTCAGTTTCTTGAGAAGAAGGGGTTCACTCAAAATGGATTCAATGCAGTCACATTAACCACACATTTATCCATAATCAGATTGTATTAATGCATATTCCTTGACAATCTAAGAAATGTTACATAAAATGAGGAAACAATGTTGAAACAACCAACCAAAGTTTGATTTGATCCTGGCCATGAATGTGCATTTGCCAACTTCCCAAAAGTTTGATTGAACATGGTAAACCCAGCTCCATTTTCATTTGATTCACCTTTCAGACTTAGCTGTAGGCTGTGAGATGCAGAAATAGGACTGAACTCAAACCCCAGGTTCCGTTCACCAACTTTGTCAGATGAGTCTAACAAAGCACCAGCTCCAACTGCACTGTTACCATGCTTGGGCGTTTCAACCTTAATTAAAAATATAATACAGAATATCACTTCAATCAAATGCAATTCATGAAGAAGAGAAAAAAAGGTCTTTATATTTAAGCAAGCACGTGTTATTATGAAGAAACACGAAATAAACCTCTTGCCCAAAGGCCAAAAACTTAGTTTCTTAATATATTATTACTCCAAAACATAAATATACAAAATTGAAATGAATGAATACAAAATTTATACTAGTTTCTAGCATTCACGTAAGCTTCACCCAATTTACCTTAACATTGAAGTTTTCATTTACAGTTTCCCGTTTCGCAGACTTGAATTCCCATCCATCGTCCTCGTCGTCGTCCTCATCCTGATTCAAATTGTTTACACTCGATTTCTTCGGACTGGTAGAGCCGACATTGGATTTCAAAGCTGATCCGTTTTGCTGATGATACAAATTGGAAATCAAATCACTAATTCCAACGGAACCATTCGAATCGGATCCCTTTTTCACAACAGCACCACCACCGTTGGAGAAAAAATCATTGGAATTGGAATCAGAAACAGGTTCATCATCTTCTTCCTCGCCGAAGATTGAAAGCGGAATAGCTCCGCAAGCTTTGTTTGCGGTTTTCCCAAGGGGATCCGGGGAAACTGTAAATGGATCAGAGGGTTTTGAAATGGTGGTGCCATTGATGTGATTGGAATGGTTGACGAAGTTGCCCCTACCATAGGTGGAAGGGAGTGGTTGATTGGGAACGGAAGCGAACTTGAAGTCGCCGAAGTTTAAATTCTCCAATCCTGAAAACAGAACAATAACAACAATTACTTTGATGTGAATCAATTTTCATGAGTTGAAAAAACAAAGCAGAACCTGAAGATTGTTGGTTTTGACGTAGGACCAAACACGCATGAAACAGGTTAATCGAGAAGTCTGAGATTGACCGACGAAGTCTCTGAGAGTGGGAGGAAGGTTAACGAGATCGATCAAGTTTGCGAGCTTTTTAGGGTTATCAGTAACATCTTTCTTCATTCGCTGAGGAAGAATTCTTCACTTCAATACACGATTTGTAATGGCTGCGAGATGGGTTTATCAAAATTCTAACTTCAGAGGAAATGTGCAACTCAATTTGTGTTTAGTTAGGATTAGGTATAAATTTAACAATAACATTGTGTTTCAACTATATATGTGAATATTATGTCAAGCTCTATGTATATACTTTAGCTCATGATAAATGATTATTTAGGTATAAACTTAAAATCATTTTTCAACATCAATTAAATCCACATATCATGTTATAAAAGTCATGTCTTTCGAGGCATAACCATAAGTTACCCTTGGTCTAGTCCTATCAGACCGTCTCGACATCTCATAGATCCTCCTCAAGCATAATACAAATATAACAAGCATTGAGAAAAAGATGAAAGATTAAATTTATTTGATTGATTAAATTGAACATAACACCATTGTCGTATCAAATTCATAGAATATATAATAATGCATAAACTTAACCTTAACAAGAGAGAACTTAAATATACATAACAATTATAATTAGATAAAATATATAAGTTAGCAAGAGATTTTTAAAGGTTTTGGGTGCGACGGTTGTTTTACCGTCGTGAAATGAATTTTAGGACGGATAATTTTACCGTCGTGAAAGGTTTAAGGGTGCGACGGGTGCTTTACCGTCGTGATATGCCTTTTAGGACGGTTAATTTTACCGTCGTGACTAGTTGTTGGTGAAAAATCAATGTTAAAAGTGTTAAATGGGGGCCGACGGTTGTTTTACCGTCGTAATAATAATATTATGATGGTTAAATATACCGTCGCAAAATAAATATTAGGGACGGTTGGTGTCAACTGTCGTAAACACTGTCTCTATATGTCAATTACGACAGTTATCACATAACTGTCGCAATTTTTGTATCGTTAAACACTAATTTTCTTGTAGTGCATCTTGATCTGATTGTAACCAGAGAAACCATCCATGAAGGAAAAAATCTTATATTGCACGGTGTTATCAACCAGAACGTCAATGTGGGGGAGCGGAAAGTCGTCTTTGGGGCTTGCCCTGTTCAAATCTCTATAGTCCACACACATTCGTACCTTACCATCCTTTTTAGGCACCGGAACTACGTTGGCCACCCATTGGGGATAAGAGGTGACAGCTAGGAACCCAACGTTGAACTGTTTCATAACTTCTTCTTTTATCTTCTCTAACATTTCATGGCGCATACGACGAACCTTCTACTTTACCGGAGGGCAATATTCTTTAGTTGGAAGACGGTGAACCACAATATCCATATCCATTCATGGCATGTCTTCATATGACCAGGAAAAGATCTCGTCATAATCATGCAACATTTGTATCAACTACTATTTGACATTAAGCTCCAGATTTGCACCAATCTTGACTTCTTTTCTGTCTTCCTCTGTGCCTAAGTTTATTGTCTCAACTGGCTCTTCATGAGGTTGTATAGCCCTCTCTTCCTGTTGTAACAGCCTAGCAAGTTCTCCAAGTACCTCAGAATCTTCCTCACCTTCGTCCTTGCCTTGGTTGATCGGATTTTCAAAGTCATAACTGGAAATAGCAGAATTGTTATCAATGGGATCCAGAGTGGATATGGATCTGCAGTTTGACATGTGAGTGTGTGTAAGAGCATAACTGTATAAACAAAGTAAAAAAGTAGAAAAGAAAAACAAAGAGTGCAAAATTTGTATGCATAAACGTCCAATGCTTTATTAATTCCATATGAAAATGAAACATGATAACCCTCACAAATAAACCAATGTGTCCCAGGTAAGACACATGGCCATAAAGATTGTATTGTTTATTACATATCCAAAAAACAAGAAAGAAAATTACTTCTGAACAAAAGTAATTGGTACAAAGTATTTAGCCGTCCAGTTATTGGGTCCACCGTTGTTAGTAGGGAAGATCCAGCTATCCACGTCATACTCATTGTCAGCATCTTCTATGGCGGAGACAACATCAATATCATTGATTCTCGAGCCGTGCTTGGGCATGGGTGCAGTTATGATGTTAGGAGTCTCAGGGGGATCAAAATCAATCTCCTTTGCCTCGATCAGATCCTGCACCTTGTTCTTCAAATCCCATCAGTCATTCGTGTCATGCCCCAGGGTCTCAAATGGTAGGCACATCGAGCATTTGGATTGTAGCAGGGAGAGGCAGTATTAGGATTCTTTGGAGCTTCCTTCAAAGTTACCAGATTGGACTTCAATAATTGTGGCAAAACTTGAGACATTATCATAATTATCCAGGTAAACTGTCTTGCCGGCCTTTCTGTTCTAGGCTGATTGTTCCTTTGCCAAATAGGTGCAGATTTAGAGATCATAACAGCCCCTATCACCGGACGACGTTCAGTTCTATCTTGATTCCTTTGATTGTACACAACACTAACCTCTTTCTTCCCAGCAAAAGGCTTTCTTACTGTACTGGAGGATGCATCCTTTTGGATCTTACCACTCCTAATTCCAGCTTCCACTCTTTCCCCTGTCAAGATTAATTCAGTAAAGCCAGCTGAGGAGCTTCCGATCAGGTGATTGAAAATGGACCAGATAAGGTACCCAGAAACATATCCACTAGCTTCCTATCAAATAGGGGAGGTTGGACTCTTCCTGCTAAGTCCCTCCACTTGTGAGCGTAGTCTTTAAAGCCCTCGCTCGAACCCATAGCCATACTTTGGAGTTGGGTACGGGTGGGAGAAAGGTCTGCATTATACTGATACTGCTTGTAGGAAGCAACAGCCAAGTCTTCCCAATTACGAATGTTGGCCCTTTCCAGCTGGTAGAACCATTCTAGTTGAGTTCAGGACAGACTATCCTGAAAGAAGTGGACCCATAAGTCCTTGTCAGCAGTGTAAGGCTGTATCTTCCTCACATAAGATCATAGGTGCATCTTGGGACATGAAACCCCATCATATTTTGCAAACACTGGCACCTTGAACTTTTGTGGGATTACAACCCCAGACACCAAACCCAACTCTTCAAAGTGCAGCCCAGGCACTTTCTGGATCTCCATTGCACTCAAACGCTCTTCCATTTGTTTGTACTTTTCGTCGGTCGGAGGATACTGCTCTTCATTGTAATCAGTTTCATTTTCAGATTCCCTCAGACTAGGGCCTTCCTCTCTTGTCTCCCCCTCTTGTTTATCTCCTTCTTTGGAGGAAGATGCCAGCTCAACCACTTGCCTTAGCGATCCTTTGAATCTCCTTCCCAGATTTACCACCCCAGCTATCTTCCTTGGCTTCTTAGTCTTGTCTTTAACAATCAGGGCTTTCAGTTCCTCTTGCCCCTTGGCCAGAGCCATGATCATCTATTGAAACTGCACATTCTGAGTCTGTAGATCCTCCACTATTTGTTCTAGAGCCATTGCTGAAATAAACAGCGAAGAGGATGAGAAACCTACTATGACACCTATTTATGTAATGATATACATGATATATGTACGCAATGTTTTCAAGGATCTCGCGGGGTAAACAAGAAAATTTCATAATTTGTAGCTTCGATTGGAGAACTCCGTATCATTGAATGTCCTTCTACGAGAGTCAAGCTCACCATATCAAGTGGGTCATAGCCCCTGAATCAAGTTGTTGAGTTTTGATCTTTTGACGGCATTGGCTAGAGGAAAATAAATCCCCTTTGCCCCTTGCTAGACGTCTAATTTACCATAACCTGCACCACAAACCCTTGATATCCTTGAAATGGTTAGTATGATATGCCATGTTATGATGTCATAATCATGCTAAGAATTCACATATATGGCAAGCACAAGAAAATCACACCAAAACCTTAGGTTTAAGGGTTACATGGGTTTTAAGGTCATACCCTCTTGAAGTTGGATTGGTTCAACCTGCTCTATAAATAGTAACCAGGTTCTAAGGGATCTCAATATCACTGACCTTTCCCACAAGCTTCGTTCGATAGGCGACTAACTCGCAACCCAACAAAACTCAGGAGTCAAGTTTCAATGAGTGTAGCATCGAGTATCTTCCGACTTTGGGAATACACCAAAGACGGCCATCTCACTACGTCCTAATGGCCAAGTTGTTCATTTAAATGTTCTAAGGTCAGTTGATGCTTCATAACACCACGCAGCGGCCCTGTATTCTCCTTGATTAAGTCAAGGGCTACCGATACCAACTAAAGTATCGCATCAACGTAGCCATCGCTTCAACCGTGTCGGTATACCGCACACAATTTCCACGATCTATTTCTAATTACCTAAAAGGTTTCCCCATATTCGAGTGTATGATCTATAATACCCAAATAGATACCCTTAAAAGTAAAGCAATCAGAACAAGCAAACAATGTAGAAATGATCTAGACCCTAAGGTAAACCCCACTTTTATTTTAATCCCCAGCAGAGTCGCCAGTTCTGTGATACGGTGGAAGAACTGACTTGGGATGTTTGCGTTTGATCGCAATTGTTGCGGTTAGCAAGAGTTGCCACCAACTTTTCTTTTATCCAAATGGAAATATGGAAAAGAACAGGAAAGACCTTTGAGATTATTTCTTGAGTTCGGGGGGTAGATTATGAAAAGGGAAGGTGTTAGCACCCTTTTCATCAATAGTTATCTATGGGCTCTTAGTTGCTTTCTAGATCACTTTCTTTTTTTTTAAAATGTGCTTTGTTTGAAAATATGCTTTGTGGTGGTTTTTGAAAGTATTTTTGAAAAGGCGCCTTCGTTTAGGCAAACTTTGTAATGGTTCTCGTTTCATAAGAACGTATATAAAGTGTTGGACTTTTGAAAATATCTCATGTTTTGAAAGTTTGTTTTGAAAGTGTTTGGTGTGTGTTTGTTTTTGAAAGTGAGAAAGGATGTTTGTTTTGAAAGTGAGCAAGCAACTAAGAACGTTTCTACCTACTCAAAAGTCTTCTGTTTATTTCCTCCTTTCCTTTGATATTGCTATCTTACCATTCATTGGTAAGAAGCCTTATCTTTGGATGAAAAGGGACGAGTGTGGGTCATCGTATAGTCATGATAGCAATATTGTGAGATATCTTAGCA